TTGGTGAGAGACAGGCTGAGACGTGGCAGAGACACTGGGGACCGTCAAAGAAAGGACAGACGGAAAAAATGAAATTAAAAGCAAAAAAAACTGACAGAACAGAAGAAAACTCTGAATCTTCCCTGGTTCAATGGAGTCCCTAGAGTCTGCAGCTTAGAACCTGTTTAGAACCGCATAAAGAAAGGGACTGAAAAGAAAGTTTAACTTTGTCTCAAAGACTCTCCCATCATCCAGACAATATTTTTTACTCCCCCAGAACAAAATCTTTAAGAGACTCAGGAGCAGCTGCTCCACTTAGCCTTAGTTTTAGATTAACCTCAGTGACACCAACTGACCACAAGAGGCAGCAGTGACTTTGGTCTGAGTGAAAATCACTGATTTTCTCTACGGACTTTGGTCTGAGCTAAATCTCAGCGTATCTCCAGTGTTTCTAGAATGTTTTGTGGTGGAGGTAGAAACAACTATGACGGTCGGTGATGGTGAGAAAAACATGAATGGTGGGGAAGGGAGAGAGGGTGGGTGAGCGGCCGATGAGAGGTTGAAATGACAGACGTCAGAATGATGATCTGCAGACAGGACAGCTGTGTTGATGAGCACATGCGTGTGAGACAAAAACTTTAAATGGTTTTCTCTAAACCCCACCCCCTTGAACTCTGTTTCTGAACCGGGCGTTGAACCCTCCACTGTTTCATCACAGTTTTCAGAGAACGCCGTCACTCAGACGTAAGTGGAGGAAACGATACGGAGGATTGGACGGAAACAAGCTGCTGGAGCCTGACGAGGAGCCGGAGCCCAGAGGTGTGTGTGTGTGTGTGTGTGTGTGTGAGAGTGAGTGTGTGTTCACACACACAGCTAACTGATGACTGAGCAGCAGCCCAAATTAGACACCAGCAGAGGACGCCCACTGACAACCACTAATCACAGGGTGTTTTGCACACACACACACACACACACACACACACACACACACCCTCAGCTATTTTAACCACTTCTACTTTTGTTTCTGTTCAGATTCCACACAGTTTATACTTTTTTTTCACTGTGAAAAAACAAAAACTTCACAAAGAAATGAAAAATATATTTATATATATTTTAAAATGTTATTTCTGTGACATTTTCACACTGTACTATAGAAACGATATTTTTTATACTTTATTTTGATTGAATTATGTTTTGTTAAATAAAATACTATAGAAACGATATTTTTTATACTTTGTTTTGATTGAATTATGCTTTGTTAAATAAAATAACAACAATCTCACCTGGATGTTCTCTCATCACTTCCTGTCTATGTGATTTCCACAATAAAAGAACAGAGCTATGACTTTAACATCTGCTCTGTGTTTCCTCTCTGCTGACAGACCATGTGACGACAGACGACAGGACCAGTGTGAACCAGGTAACAGGTCTAACTCGGATTGTATCGACAAACAACAGACCGAGCTTCACTGTCAAACAGAAGTTCATAGAGAAAATCCCTGATTTTAGATCTGGTTACATTTTATTTTCTCTTTTGTTTTGAGGATGCTGCTCCTCGTCCAGCACCCAGGTGTCTGCTCCAGAACAAGGTCCAGACTCCAGGCCAGAAGCCTGTGAGCCTGGTCACTCCTGGATCTGCAGGTACTGGTCTGACCCTGTGACCTGCTGCGGGACAGGGATCTGTTCACTGTAGTGAAGCTGTTTGTGTTTTTCACAGCAGCCTCAGTGTCGTTCAGTAACGGTGGACTGAAGCCCCCTCTGCCCCAGGCTGTGGTCCAGCCAGAAGATCGCAGTTTCCTGCCTTCACCCTGGTCTCCACCTCAGCAGAGTCCTTCAAAACGCAGAGCGTGAGAAAACGTCTCCGACAACAATCAATAGTCACTCTCCCACATCAGAACCTCAAAGAGAAAATCATTGGGTCAGTGGGTCAGTGGATGGTTTTCTTTTTTCTTCCAGAGCTGCTGACGTGCTCTTTGACAGCTTTGCTTCACGTGGAAGAATCAACGTCGGCCACTTTTTTGAGGTAAATTCATTTCAGTTCTTTTGTTGAACGTTCATGTCTCTCTCCACATGTTGACCAACATGAAACCCTTCTGGGTTTGATTGTTTCTGTCTCAGTCTGTGTGGAGCGCTGGACTCCATCGGTCCGACCCGCGACTCAGGGAGTGTTTCTTCCACCTGAGGAAACTGCAGGACGCTGAGGGGACGGTGGACAGAACCGCCTTCCACAGGTCAGTCTGGATCTGCCCGCCCCGGGGTTGTGGTTGTGGTTGTGTTTTGTTGAACGCTGTTGTTGTTTCCTGCTGTAGGTGCGTCGCAGGCTTCGTCTCCTTCATCCTGAAAGCTCTGCAGGGAAGATTCGTCATTCCGGATTTTTCCACCTTCACTGAAGAGACTCAGAAGTTGTTCTCCAGGTGTCGTCAGTTCTCACCTGCTCAGGTTTCTACTTCCTGTTTCTCTCTAGTCGACATCACACGTAACTGTAACAGTCCAGACAGGACCGGGTCCAGCCCAGGTGGGCAGCGAACTGACCCTGAAATGGAGCCCGTACTTCACCTTTGACCTTTACTCTTCTGATTCTGACCAATCAGGACAAAGACAAGCAGAATGTGGACAGCAGCAGGTGGGCGGTCTCCATCTGCACCGTGGACGGACAGAGGTCTGTACCTGCTGGACCACAGCGCCACCCTGGGCTGGGTCACGTAAACTACAACAACCTGTCTGTGTGTGTGTGTGTGTGTGTCCTCAGACTGTCTCTGGGAGACTGGTCCGGTCCAGTGTGTCTGGGTGACGCCTCCTGGCCTCTGCTGTACGGTGTGTCAGTGGAGCTGCTGGGATCGAACCTGGTCCACAGATACGTGGGACTGGAGGAATATTCCAGACATGAGTCTCCCTTCTCCCTCACCAGGACAGGTCACAACACTAGTCTGAGTTAGTCTGGTCTGAGTTAGTCTGGTCTGAGTTAATCTGGTCTGAGTTAGTCTGGTCTGATTTTTTTTTCTGACAGGAGTTCCTCACAGTCCACTGACAGAGACTGGAGCCATTGTTGTATCATCTCTACTACAGGTAACATCCATCCATCCATCCATCCATCCATCCATCCTGTCAGTGATGACCTCTTGACCTCAGTCTGTTTTATGTCTACAGTCGTCCAACCAACTTTCTACAGATGAAGAGGAGAAATACGACTCAGTAAGAGATGAAGAGCAGACCTCACACCACAGTGTTTACACTGACTCACTGTGTGTGTGTGTGTGTGTGTGTGTGTGTGTGTGTGTCCTTCAGGTGCTGAATGTTATTCGGAGACTGTGTAACAGAGAACACGCCGACCTGAACAGCAGCAGGTAGAACTGGAGCAGTTAGCAGAAACAATGCTAACAGTTAGCAGAGTCAATGCTAACAGTTAGCAGAGACAATGCTAACAGTTAGCAGAGACAATGCTAACAGTTAGCAGAGACAATGCTAACAGTATCTGTCGAAGTTTCAGTGAAGAGGAAACAGATTTGTCTTAAAACAGAAATGAATTTCAAATCAATTTCATGGTTGATTTTCTGCTCAGTTTTCAACGCAACAGGAAGAAGAATGAACGACTCCACGCTCTCTCCTACTTCCTGCAGGAGAAGAAGGTGAGCCTCCTCCCTCCCTCTGTGGGTTTAAACACCTCCTCTGTTGTCTCTGAACAAATGTCCCCTCCTCTCCTCTGCTCCAGTGTTTTCCAGAGAAGGTTGACCTCCTCTCAGTGTTGGAGCTGCTGCAGCAGGTAGAACTACAGGAGACAGACCAATGCTAGGTCTCCGTTCTGGTTCTGGTTCTGTTCTGTTCTCTCTCTGAGGTGTGGAACTGTTTCTTTCTGCCCCAACAGTGCTCGTCCACAGAGGTGACCTGTGAATCGGGGGCTGTCATGGCCGCCTCGTTGGCCAATGGGGGCCTTTGTCCACTGTCAGGTGACCAGGTGCTGTCTCCAGCGTCTGTACGGAGTATGATGTCCATGATGCAGGTGGCAGGGATGAAGGAGTCCTCCACCGCGTTCCTCCACAAGGTCCACACGTCAAAGATCAAAGAGATAACACCACGAGGTCACAGCGCCCCCTGTGGTTTTTGGGGATTGGTTGCAGCCAAGTAATGTTGGAACTGTTGTTGGAACTGTTGTTGCAGACATCGGTACCAGCAGTGTCCAGCGGCCATGGAGTTCTGTTGGCTGCGGTCCCTGGAGTTCTGGGTCTCATGGCATTTTCTCCTGAGGTAGATTCCTTTGGAAACCCCTGGAGGGCGCTGCACTTCTGCCAGGTGAGGAGCTCAGCCCAGCCAGGACGCTGAAGCAGGGATGAAGTTCTCCCTCCTGGAAATTTCTGGTGATTTTCTTTTTTTTTTTCCCGTCTGTCCAGGAATGGTTTCGACTTTCCAACTCCACAGTTTTGACGTCAGGGCGTCCAGGCAGGTTCTGGTCTACAGACAGTGGAAGTCTGAGTCCGAGGTTGGTCCAGATCTTCTCAGCACCTCCACAAGTACCTGGAACTGCTGATGTACTGAAAAGTCCGTCCTCCGTCCTCCCACCCATGTGTCGTGACCTGTCCTCTGTGTGTGTCTCTGCAGGGCTATGACATCATCAACGTCCTGCTGGCTGCGTTCAGAGGAGACGTCCAGTCTCTGAGAAGGTGACGAAGCTCAGACGTGAAAATAACCAATGATGAGCTGAACAGGAAGTGATGATGCGAGGCCGCGGCCACTTCCTGTGCGTTCTACCTGGTTCCCTTCAGTCGGTCTCTTCTTCTGTGGCTGTCTGTGCAGGTATTTCCTGTCTGGAGTAGACGTGAACGCCGTGGACTACGACGGCCGCTCCGCACTCCATGTGGCGGCCGCTGAAGGTCACGCAGAGGTCATACGTTTCCTGTTGGACAATGCTGGAGCAAACCCTGCCCTCAAAGACAGGTGCGGCCCTGGACTCGTTTCAACTTCTTCTCAGCGTTGGTTGAGAAAAATGAAAATACATTTTAAAAAACAATAATTTACCGTATTTTTAGGACCATAAGGCGCACTATCAATGAACGGGTGGAAGTTTGATGTTCTTATTGTTATCACTTTTATTAAAGCTGCAGAGATGACGTAGTTCTGTGTTTTTTTTTCCCAGGTGGGGGAGCTCTCCACTGCAGGAGGCCAGGAGGTACAACAGAGAGGCTGCAATCCAGGTGCTGCAGGGAGTCATGTGACCCAACCTGAACCACGAGTTCACTCTTTAGTTTCCAGTAATTTTGCTAAAAAAGAGTTGAACTTTGTTTTAAAAAGGAAATAAAATAACAATATTGTGATTATTTTCCTGGAGAAAATCAGTGATTTCAGCTCCGACCAAACCTTTTTCACTATCTTTGATCAAACTTTGAACCTGTTCTTCTTTGAATGAGAAAGATTCAACTCTTTGTTCTCACGTCACCTCACACTGGTCAGTGGTGCTCATGGTCTCGGCTCCTGGTGTTTTTAGGACTAGTGATCATGGTTTTATCCAGACTCTGTTTCTGGTTCTTTTTACTGCAGTTTTTTCTGTTTCACGGCAGGATTTAATTCTGTTGTTCGATTATTTCTGTCTGATTTCTGTCCTCGCGACCACGTCTTCCCATAAGATAAACAGCACCCCCAACAGGTGAAGTTAGGTTCTCCGCATTTACGTTGATACATTTGAGCTAAGCTGTCAATCATTACTTTAAGTTTGACAATTAGTCAATGAGTTCTGACAGATGTAAAATAAAATCTTTATTTTCCTCCAGTGATTCTTTAGAAAAGTTTCAGAAATATTTTTAAACACACACACATACACACACACACAACTTACACCTAGAAAATTTGAGGACAAACATCTGAAAAGAGTTCCAGCACAAAATCGGAATTCTTCTTCTTCTTCTGTGGAGACGATGAGTAAAAAAACTCTGCACTCCTTTGCTGCAGCATTTCAAAGGCAAAACAAAACCTTTGCACATAGCCCGTGACAACGTGATTCCACCGATCAGCATCCAGATGACCACAGACCTGGGAACAACCAGTGTCTCAGTGTGGACAGGAAGTTCATCACACGTGTACAGGAAGTGGGTGTGTGGCTGTTAGTCGTCAGGTTCGGCCACACACTGCTCTACGATTTCCCTCAGGTTTGGATTTTCCATGGCTGCAGCCACTCGTTCCTTGTCGTTGATCTGTTTGTTGACTGAAAACACACACAGTGACAAACACGAGCTAACAAATCAAAACAGTGTGACGTTAGCATCACTGAAAGAGCTCACCAACAGCTACAACAAGCTAACTGAACTGGAAAACAACACTGAAACTAAACCAACATGCTAACAGTTCATAAATGGACCGTAAATGTATGTAATCAAAGACCCTGACGGCCACACTTACTGTCTTCTTCAGTGGAGTGAGTTCCTTCAGAGATGTAAATTTCCAGCTGAAAAGAGAGAAAAAAAGTTTGTGTATGATTTTCAAGTTTTTTTTATTAAACAGAAGAAGAAGGCTTTGGTTTGGAAAGCCCTGACTTTTCTCTTTACCAAAGTCCATAGAAACAAAAACTGGGATTTCGCAACACAGCACACTGCAGTCATTGGTCAACTGCGTGTGTAAACTGTATGTGACCACAGGAGGCAGTGGGCAACAGCTCACCTTGTGTTTGAAAGGCAAACATCTCTGCAGCTTCACCTGCAAACACAGTCCTGAGAGCACAGACAACAGCAGGTTCACACAGAGGTCACACAGGGTTCAATCAATACAGCAGGTGTGTGTGTGTGTGTGTATCACTTTTACAATGGAACAAAATTTCATTTATTTTATTTTTCTTCATAGATTTTTGATTTACAATTGAACACTTATTTGGCTGGCCACAGGAGGCAGCAGTGAGAAATTGGGAAATGATGTTTGTGCTAAACTGTCATTTACTACAGCTGCACTGAGCTGATAATGGGTCTGGGTGTTGTCATGTCTGTTGTTGTCAGACTGGTCCGTGGTCCGGTCCGTGCCTGTCCTGATGACCTACCGATCAGTGTTGCCAGAGAGCAGTGAGGAACCGTGGGAGAGAATTTGATGATAATCAGATACTCCTCATCCCCGAGCTCCTGCACCTCCACACACTCCTCCTTCACCACATCCAGCTCCTCCAGGGTGTTGGGCTTCTCTGGGTCCCGGATCGATCGGATCACATCTGAGACAGTTCCAGAGAACAAGAGTGTGACTCGAGCTACAGTTATGTTACCAGTATTAAACTACGGACAGCACAAAAAAAAGAGGCAAAAGTCACGTTTAATAATAATAAAAAAATCTAATGTTAGCCGTTTGTTGTCGTTGTTAGCTGTTTATTTAACACATTAGACTGGTTTCTGTCACAATTCCATGAGTGTTGAAGTGGCTCCTGTGAGTCCCGGTGTCGACGCCTGTTGTTGTTTCTTACCGTAAACCTCTAACGCTTTCTCCTCCATCTTTTTCTTCTTCAGGTCATTCCTGGGGCTCAGCAGTCCAGAAAACTCTACAAACTTCTCGAACGTTAAGGAGAGGAGACTCAGCGCTACTTCCATGATTTTAAAAACGCCATGTTTTTAAAATGAGAAGCTGCTTTGACTTTGACAGGAAACGGGGTGAAGACGAATCGGTCGGACTTCCGCTGATCTACAAACTCACAGAACCCCTGGTGTAACGTGGCAGAACGTTTACAGATCAGCTACAGAAGGTGTTCTCCGTTTGGTCGTTTTTGTTTTCTGTCTTGTTGCAAAGGAAAAGCAATGGATGACCAATCGAACGTATGCTTTAATAAAAATGAACGGCATCGGCAAACTGGCATCGGTAATCGATTAAGTTACCTTTTTGTTCACCGTTATCTTCCTAATGGCTAGTTTTGGTCAGCTGACAGGAAGCCGTGCTGTCATGTGACGAAGCTAATTGCTCAGTAAAGACAAGAACCAGGTCCAGTACTAGAACCAGGACTGGGATTAGGAGAATTCCTCCTCACTGTCCGCTGTTGGCAGGATGTTGCCGTCCGTGAAGCGGCTGGAGAGCACCGCCATATCTGTGGCTGTGATCCCGGAGAACCCGCAGTGTCCTGCGGTAGCGGACATCCGCAAAGCAGAGCTCTCACCCGGAGGATCTCTGGTTTGCTGTCTGCTGGAGCCCCGGGGCCAGCTGCTCCTGTGGGACGCTGCGGACAGAGAGACTCCAGCGGCGGCGGTGGATGGAAGCTGTTCAGAGTGAGTCAGAACCTGGTTGTCTTCACGCCTTTTACCCTTAAAAAAAGTATGAACTCGTGATGTTTACACGGACGTTTTTCAGTTTTTGAAGTGTTTAAAGTTCATCAATGTTCGTGGACTGCACGTTTTGCTGTACCACGTTTCTTTCTGCGCAAACGAACAACAGCAGGTCTGAGAATCTTCTGACGTTCGTTCAAACTGTTCACATTTGCTGCTCACTTCCTGTTTGTCTCCTAGTTTTTCCTGGGAGGAGTACTCCGGGGTCCCTGATCTCAGTGGTGGATCCAGGCCCAGACTGGTGGCTGTGGGGTCTGGGTGTGACCTGAAGCTGCTGGAGGTTGAAGCAGAGCGGTCAGTGTCCATCTCTGTCCTCTGTGTCTCTGACTGTCCTGCAGACCACCTGTTGAAGACCGTCAGGCAGCAGGACCACAGTGAGTTCTCCGTCAGTCCGTCCGTTAAACAACTTTAGACATTTACTTCCAGCCAATTAACAACAGAGTCAGGAAGACGACAGGAAGTTGTTGTCACTGGTACAGTGAACCGTAGTTTGGTTCACGGCAGGAATAATAATGTAAAGTGTAAGGAGTTGGCTGTGTTTTCCCAAAAGTCACAGTTCAGTTTTTTCTTTTCTTTTTTGAAGGCGTGTCCCAGCTGAGGTCACTGCGTTTGTTGTCATTTGTCACCGGCCGTTGCTTTGTGCTGCTGAACGACCATTGGCTGCTGCAGCTGCACTGGCAGTGTCAGGAGGCGGAGCCTCAGATTCTAACCTGCTGCAGCATCAAACAGCCGACACCCGAAGGAGGCGACGACGCAGCCGTCCACCAGTGTGTGTGCGGAGGAGCAGCGTTCGTCCTCAGCTCCTCTGGACTCATCTGTATCCTCATTGGTCACCCAGTGCTGTGCATAAGTTTTAGGCAGGTGTTTATCTTAGTAATAGGGTTTTAGCAGCTGGAAGAGGTTGGACCAGAACTAATGAATTAGTGGACCCTGAAGGGTGGAGGCTGTTTTCTCTAACTCCGCCCCCCAGCTGTGTGTGACATCACTGACGGTCGTCTGTTGGCCAGAGTGGACCTTCCTGCTTATCTGAGCTCCAGCCTGGACGAGGACGACTTCATGGTCTCCTGCTGTTCTTCTTCTCCCCCTGAGACGTGGTCGTCCTTCTGCCTCCTGCAGGTGTCAGCTGACCTCAGCACGGCGGTGGCCGTCACTCAGACCCACGCTGCCGTGGCTGTGGATCTGGACGAGTACTTCAGGTGCAGCAGGAGAAAAGAGGAGGTGTAAAATAAGGGCCCTGGGAGAAGCGCTCAGTTCTGCTGACCTCTTGTCTCTTCCAGGACCTTTCCAGACCACCTGCTCTGCGCTGCTCTCCCTGCCCGACCGGCTCCAGGACCACAGTACCCTGGAGACCAGGACGCTGAGTCCAACTCCACACACGTTGTTACCAACCTGGGCTTCACCTTCAGCACTGAGCGGTGAGTTCTCCATCGTCGTCATGAGCTTCAGGTCCTGGACTGTAGCAGGTCTGGGGTCAACAGTCTGACGAATTGATGCGGTTTTCAAAGCTTCGACCCCGGTGATCAAAGTGTTTCTCTTCATGTGGAGGAGTGAAGAAGGAGGTCTTTCCTTCATCTAACGTTGACTCCTCTCTGCAGCTCCTGGGAGGCTCGTCTCTCCTCCCTCCACAGCAGAGCTCTGCAGACTCCCTCCTGCTCCTCTTCCTCCTCCTCCCGGCCGTCCAGACCTTCCTGGTCCTCCTCCCTCCCTCACCTGGACTCCCACCTGACTCGGCCCTGGAGTCACAGCATGGTTCCCTGTGGAGGAGCGTCGGTCTCCTTCCCGGTCCCTGAGTCCTCCAGACCCGCTCTGCTCTCTGTCTCCGGGTTTTCAGCTGTGCTGACCTTCGTCTGCCCCAGGAACCAGCGGACCACAGTGGCATGCTGGGATTGGCAGCAGGACAGTGTGAGTGTCCACCAGGGGGACGGAGAAGCTGCTCCTCTGCTGAGATGTGGAGAGAGACAGCACAGACTGCTGCTCCAGAGTGAGTCACAGTTTTAGTCCCAGATGTCACTGATGATGGACAGAGGCGTGTTTGACCTTTGAACTAACCCCCCACTCACTCCCCCTCCCCCTTGTGTCCAGAGGATGGCGTTGTCCAGGTCCTGTTTTCAGTGTCCCAGCAGGACCTGCTCAGCAAATTAATGCTGTTTGGCAGTGCAGCCACAGTGGATGCAGTGTGTCACCTGAACAGCTGGGGGCGCTGCTCCATCCCCATCCATTCTCTGCAGGTGTGTCCTAGACCTACTGTTCAGGTCCAAGGTTTCCAGGTTTTTCAGGACCTGAGCATCTGTACCTTAACGTGACGTAAATAATCTCTCTGTCTGTGACCCTGACCCTGACCCTGACCCTGACCCTGACCCTGCAGGCTGGACTGAAGAACCGTCAGTTGGACACAGTGGACTTCTACCTGAAAAGCAAAGAGAACGTTCTTGATGAGTCGACGGCAGATCAGAGTCTGACAGAGAGTAAGAGTCGAGGCTGGTCCAGAGTCCAGAGAGACAGTCAGCTGTTTTACTTCACAACAAACGCTGACTGATGACCCACTGCTGTGTGTGTGTGTGTGTGTGTGTGTGCGCAGGTGTCCAGCTCCTGTGTCCAGCCCTGGACCTCCTGTGTTCCTCGGTCAGAGAGTCCAACAGTGAAGCTCAGAGTCGTCAGTTCTCAGAACAGCTGCTCAGCATCACCCTCAACTTTGTCAACACACAGATCCGAACTGTTCTGTCCAGCACATGCTGTTAGTACACACACACACACACACACACACACACACAGTCGCTGGACCAGGTCTGAACGTCCCTCTGGTCCACAGATGAGGACCCAGATGTCCACAGCTGTGTGGACGTTCTGCACCGTTACCTGACTGAGCTGAGGAGCTACATGAAGAAGTTTCCCTGGCCAGCAGGGGGCAGCACCTGCACCACTGATTCCTCTACTCAACAAAGAAAGGAGGATCAGCAGGACGAATGGGAGCGCCTCCCGATGGAGGTGATCCAGAATGTGTTTCCCTCTCGTCACTGATTGTCTTCTGTTAACTAACTTGTTGTTTCCTGGTCTGTATTTCAGTGATGACTCTAAGGTTACTCTTTTTTTTATTGTTTCACTCGCAGGAAGTGGTTCGTCAATCCATCCTGACCAATCAGATCCCCAGAGCTCAAGCAGTGCTGAGGAGGCGGGGCCTACCAGAGCAGCGTCTGTCGTCCCTGAGGACGGAGGGTCTGCGGCAGGTCTTTTCCTGCCTGCAGCAGCAGGACCTGAGCACGGCGACCACTCTGTTGGTCAACATGGTCAGAACCTGTCGTTAACGAGTTCCTCAGGTTTCATTACACAGTCAGTGAGGTTCAGACCGTGGGGCTGATGTCAAACCAAAGTCCACAGAGAAACAACGACAATTCGATCAGAAACACAACAGAAAACAAACGGCTCTTTATGAACTCAGTGCTGCCTCCTACAGGAAGGACACATACAGTGTGTATCAATGCAACGCTAGTACTTCACATCATACACACTGTCCTTGAGATGTACTGTAATGACAAAAGGCACCACACGTGGCACTGTTGGGTCAGCAGCAGTGACTGAGAGTCTTTGATGTTTTTACAGGGTTTTAATGTCAAGGATCAACTTCACAGACTGTGTCTCTACACTGACGACCGACACCTGAGGGAGTTAGTGGTGAGTCGGAACTCTTCCCCTCGTTTCCTTTGTTCATATGTTTGGAAGTCCGTAGTCCTCTCTGATTGGTTGGTTGTTGTTATTGTTAGGTGGAAGAGTTGAGGAGGAGGAGTTATTTTTCCGAAGAAGAGCTACAGAAGGTGGAGTTCATCAGGCAGGTGGAGAAGCTGGGCTCTCTACCAACGCCCCCCCGACGCCCGGCTAACTTTACACCCAGAGGGTAAAAACATCCGACAGGAAGTGACACCATCACTTCCTGCTGATAATGAGATGGCTAATTATTGTTGTTATTATTATTGTTATTGTTGTGTAACTGATTTCAGAGCTTTGTGTCGTTACATCCCATATTTCCCGTTTCATCAAAATTTAAAAACCTGTTTTATTCCCTCAGAAGTGTTCAAATGTTGGGAAGGGAGACAGGAGTGGGTGAGGAGGTGCTGGAGGAGCTGCTCTCCTCTAGGAGGTCTGGAGAGGAGGCACGGCTCTGGACGAACCTTCGACTGGACTGGGTGAGGAACTGGGACCAAAGCTGCCAGAGCGCCGTCCTGCTGTCCAGACTGGAGCACACAGGTGAGAAAGAAGCCATCTTCATCCTCTTCTTCATCCTCTTCATCACCACCTCTATGATCAAGGTCTTCATCCTCCATGGTGTGTTTGCATAAAAACCTTCTTCTCCCTGTGTGAACAGAACTTGGTTCCCGTGACCCGGTCGTGTTGTGGCGTCACCTGACCTCCATCCATGACCAACACCACATAGTGAGGTGGATCCAGGACCAGGAAACTGCCTGCGCTGCCTCCCAGTGGCCAGAGTTGGTTCCAGAGCTTGTGAACAACAACACACTGTGCAGTGTCTACATGAAGGAGAAGATTCTGGACCTGCTGGCCCGGTACTGAGGACAACACTGGAGGATCTGTCCCACGTCCAGGGTCTCGGACCCAACAGGACGTGTCAGATCCATGTTGACGTCTGTCTTCTTCTCCAGGAGAGGCCTGTTCATCCCAGACGAGCTGGAGGATCTGCAGAGGCTTCTGTGGAGACTGGCTCAGGGTGGGGGGGTGATGGCAACTGCTCCTTCTCTTCCTCGTTACCGATCCTCACAGGGACTTGACCTTCATGCCCTCTTCATCACCTTCTGTCTGGACCACGGCCTGCAGTATCTGCTGTACACCTACCTGCAGCACCACAGGTCAGTCTGTTCTGTTCTGTCAGGTTTCTGTGCTGAGCTTCTGTCTGTCACTTTGTCACCCCTGGTTTTCCCTGACTCCAGGCTGACGCCCAGGAACTGCCCCCCACTGAGCAGTCAGAGCCTGTCTGAGAGTCAGCCCTGGTTTGAGATGATGGTGAAGATCCAGGAGATCACCAGAGACCTGACAGGTAATGATGCACACTGACCACCAGAGGCAGCAGCTAAAATCACTGATTTTCTCCATGGACTTTGGTGAGTACAGTGTTTTTATAGTGACCTTTGAACTCCTGTCCTTCCAGACCCGGCGCTGATCTTCCAGGCCAGTCTAACCAGTGCTCAGGTTCTGTTGCCAGGCAGCCAGGCGTCTCTCAGCAGTCTTCTGTTGGAGGGTCATAGTTTATTGGCTCTTGCCGCTGTCATGTTTGCCCCCGGGGGAATTGACCAGGTGAGTTCAAAAAGTAAAATAAAGGATAGCCAAACAGTTTTGCACAAAAGTTAAAAGTAGACCAAAGGATATTTGGACTAAACACAGAAAGATTTACCCTTGGTGATTATGATGAAGTTAGCATGGCGTTAGCTAACATTAGCTAGTCTTAAACACCTCTAAAAAAATATATTTCTCAGCAATAACAACGCCCTGCCCTCTAGGTGGTGCTGCAGGGTGAAAGTTCCAGCAAGTCAGAGAGAACAGTTGACCCTCAGCTCCTGAAGATGGCGCTAGCACCACACTCCAAGCTGAAGGCTGCTCTGTTTCCCACCACCCCCCGAGGACATGGCGTGTCCTCAGACATTTCCATCTACCACCTGCTGCAGGTAAACATCTGAGATGGTTTGGAGGACACCAGGGCGGTCATGTGACCTCTAACAGCTGTCTCGCTGCTGTCTTCTCAGTCTCTCCATCCTCTGGATCCTTCCAGACTGTTTGGTTGGCAGACAGCGAACACCATCAGCTCCACAGGTCAGAGGAACCATCAACCAACACCGTCAGGTCTACAGACTCAAGTCTGAGTCCAGCTCACAGACCAAAGTCCATGGAGAAAATCTGTGATATTTTTTTTTTGGTTTTTTTTGACAGAGACATCTGAGCTTCCTCATTTCTCCAGCCCTCAACTGGTCCAAATGTTCGCTCTGGTGGAGAACTTGGACTTCCTTTACTACCTGCGTCACGGCCGGCCATCCTTCGCCTATGCCACTTTTCTAGTTCAGCAGCTGAACAACGATTGTGACCGGACCCTGATGTGAGTTCAACATCAACAACATCTGGACCCACGGCCGGTCGGTTTCAGAGTCCATTCTTTTCTGCCTGCCTACAGTGTGTTTGTTTTGTTGCAGATGCCAGCAGGCCCAGCAGGGGGCGTACAGGTTGGCTCTGCAGAATTTCCATGTGGCATCAGTTACATCTGCAGCTGTGTGTTTCTGTGAGCTGTTGGGAGTCTGCAGTTTGAAACTGAGAGTCGATGTCAGAGCCATGAACACAGTCCTGAACCACTGGAACCAACACAGCTCCCACTCTGATCCACTTCACAGACTGCAGACCCTGGGTAACACACACACACACACACACATACACACACACACACACAGAGTAAAACCTATGGTGTCGTCACACTGCCCTGTCTTGTTTGGTGCACAGGACAGAAACTGGTGGAGGCGGAGCCTGGAGCAGCAGCAGAGCTGATTGGTTGGCTGGAAGCAGCAGTGTCAGAAAGCGTGGAGCAGAAAGGCCTCGTCAGGTCTGACTGTCATTGGCTGTGTGTGTGAAATTGTGTGTGTGTGAAATTACTGTCATTGGCTGTGTGTGTGAAATTGCACAGTTGGAGTTGTACAAGAACGCCTTAAATGTTAGCTAAAGGATAGCTATAAGTTAGCTCCAAATGTGTTAAAAGCTTGTTTGAAAACTGATATGAAAGTTTAAAGTTAGGCAAAAATAACTAAAGTGTAGCCAAACGTCCAGAAGTTGTCCAGTCTAGAAATGTTTTAGTGTTGTCAATATAATTTGGGAATTAGCAACAATCATTCAGAAAGTAGCAACAACTAGCTACAACTTGAATTAAATAAAAATAGCCAAATGTTATTTAAAGTGAGCCACATGTTAGCCTATGTCTGTAAGTTAGCTAAAGGCAGACGTTAGCCTAGCAGTTGACAGACTTGTTCTTCTCGTTCTGTCCAGGTCGTCTTATGAAGCGTCCCAGGAGTGGACCGTACCAGTCCAGTTCTGTCAGCTCCACAGTCTGGACCTCAGCTCTGTTTACCCCGCCCACTGTGCTCAGGATGGACACTACATCCATTTCCTGTTGTTTGTCCAGCTCCACAGTTTCCCTCCTCAGCAGGTTGAGTCGTCACCATGGAACCCCCCCCCCCTTTGATCGGACCAAACGTCTGAGGTTCAAATCTTTTGACGCCTTTTCTTTCCTCCAGGTCAGGAAACTGGCAGCTGGCTTTGGCCCCGCCCTCCAGGCCCACCTGAGCCTGGTGTTTCAGGACCTTCATGTCCGTCCTCAGGCCCAGAGAGCTGGGGACAGTGGCTCGGAGGACCCGGAGTGTCTGAGCACAGCAAAGGCTTCTGGGAGTGGGGACCAGCCCCGGGAACTGTTCCAGGTCCTCCTGCAGAGCCAGGATCAGGGGGCTCCCTGCAGGTTCCTGCGGAGGCAGTCGCTGCTGCAACGCTGCCCCACGCTGGCCGTGATCGCCGCATGTCCACAGGTGACAGATTCACTCCACAGAGTCCACCTCTGGTCTTCACCACCCCCCATGACTGAGCTCAGATCAGTTCATGAGTGGCTGTGTCCACTTAGAGCTGGACGGACCTAGTGTGACCACATGGGGGCAGCAGTAGACTAACTGTTCCTGTGGGCTTAAATTGCTGATTTTCTCTATGGACTTTGGTTCAGGGAAAATTAAACAAACGTGTGGTCTGTTTGATTGACAGGGGGCGGAGCCACTGGCCTGCCTCTGTGTGTGGGTGTTGACTTCCGTCGATGATGTCACAGCAGGTGAAGCAACGACTCATCTTATAGAACCCGCCCAGCACACTGAGTGGACACTGCAGGACCTGTCAATCATCTGGAAGACACTGCTGGGGCGGGGCCAGGTCAGACCCCTCCTCCAAGGATTCCAGCTCTTTCTGAAGGTAGAAACCGAAATGTAATGAAATCTGTGACGTCTTTCCAGAAAAGTCTGATCATGTGACTGCTGTGCGTTTCAGGACTGCCCCCTGGTGTTGATGCTCAGCATGTTTGACCTGTGCTGTGACTACAGGAACTTCTCTGAGGCCAAAGAGAAGCTTCTGGATTTTCAGAGGACGCTCATCACTGTGAGTCCAACCACGTCCATCGACCAGAGACAGGAAACTGTCAGCGTGACAGCAGACAGCTTTGATGAGAAACTTTTCTTTTCCTCGTAGCTAAGGACCAGTGGTTCCGTCTCCTCCACCCTCCTCCCACTCCCGTGGGTGGAGGCCCAGGCCTCTGTGCTGCTCCTCACCTTGCTGGAGCGCTGCTCCTCCAGGTACGACCTCCACCACCTGCTGCAGCTGCTGGCTGACGTGGACGTGCTCTTCAAATCTAACGGTGAGCAGCTCTGTGTGAATGTTGACCCTGCAGGTCCTTGAACCCGACCTGGACCGGTTCTTGTGTTCAAGGTCCTTGAGCGTGACCTGGACCAGTTCTTGTGTTTCAGGTCCAGACTTCAGGATGCTGAGTCAGCTCAGTCAGCTGCTCCAGGACTCCGACCTCACGCTGTCTCCACGCCTGCTGCAGTGCACTTCACCTTCTGTCCAGCAGGAGGAGTTCCAGGCTACTGTGGATGCCCTGCAGGCCAGGGGGCGCTACACTCAGGCGAGACAGGTGGCTGAACTGGCTGGACTTCCTGTCCACCACCTGCTGCTGGGCCAGGTCTGGGACACAGTGGACTTCAGGTCAAGACTTCTCTGGATCGAAGTTTGTTTGTTTGTTTTTTAACTTTGAACTCTGTGTTTCTGTGTGAAGCTCCTCCAGGAGGTGAACTCCTTCAGGTCCAAGCCCCAGTGGAGGAGGCTGGAGACCAGAGTCTCCTTCTGGAAGAAATGTCAGGAGCAACTGAAGGAGGACGGACCACAGCCAGGATCTGCTGCCCAGTTCTTCCTGTCACAGGCTGAAGGTCCGACCAGGACGGCTGCTGAAGACACGGAGACCAAGCTGCTGGACACCAAGGAACGCTGCCTCCTGCTGGACACCCAGGAACGCTGCCTCCTGCTGGGCCTGGCCGCTCACTGGCTCTCCCTGCTCCACCCACCTCCGGTCCAGGAGCTGCAGAGCCTGGAGGAGAGGCAGTGGAGGAGCCGAGTCCAGCTGCAGCTCCTCACCACCTCCATGGAGAGGCAGAGTGTGTTCAACCTGCCGGGGTCCAACCTGGGGCCCGACGTGGACGTGTACCGAGCGCTGGTGGAAGAGTTCTCCTTCTCCCACATCTCAGCTCTCAACACTGACAACTTTCTCAGCACAGATGGACTTCCTGCTCCTGTAGGGGCGGGTCAGCAGGATCCCAACGTCCAATCAGCTTTGACCCCAGAGGAGAGAGAAGTTCTGCTCCTGCTGGTTGGACAGCTGTTGGACCAGGGCAGCGTCCATGAGGCCAGCCGAGTCTGCAGGTACTTCGGTCTCCACCACCCTGACCTGTGGTTGGTGCTGCGATGCCGAGGCCTGGCGTCCGGAGAGCTCCGCCCCCAGCCGCAGGACAAGACTGCAGAGGAAGAGCCAATCAGCAGAGTCCCCAGCTGTACGTGATAAGAGGACAGAAGGGGGGGGGGCTGAGGGACACCACCCACAACTGACCACCAGGGTAACAACTGAGGAGAGTAATCAGTCTGAATTTAGTTTTTTTCTCCCCCTCCTCCCTCTGTTGTCCCCCCCCCTCTCTTCACCCATCCCTCTGTCTGTCCTGCTCTCAGCGGCGTCTTTCGGGAGTCTGTCCCTCTCGATGCTCTCTCTCCCTGAGGACCAGGTGGTGCTGGAGCTCCAGAGACTGGTGGACCGGTGTCGCCACGGCGCCACCTACTGTAAACAGGTCCTCAGCCTGTACCGGCTCTCTAAGGTACAGCACTGGTCCAAAGGTCTACGTCTTCTCTGTTGGCTTGTTCGCCCATGCCTCTCTCTCTCTCCTCAGGAGCTGCAGATCTCCTTCAGTCAGGTGAGCAGTGAGGAGCCGCGCTCCGTCCTGGAGGCTCTGCTCCAGTCAGAACAGCCGGAGCGCTTCAGAAAGGCCCAGGTCTTCATCAGAGCCCAGGGTCTGAGTCCTGACTGTGTGGCCCAGCTGGTCTGCTCTGCTGTGACCCGCAGCCTGCTGACCCCCAGCCCCACCTCCACCCCCACCACCCAGGAGCTGCAGACTGGTGAGAAGAAGAAGAAGAAGAAGAGTCCAGGGGAACTGTGTCCTGCAGGACCCTGAGTTTGTCTTCTGTCCTACAGAGAGACTGGTGTTCAGACCGTCAGAGGGACGGGACTCCCTGATCCAGCTGATCAGACTGTGTGAAGACCCAAACCTGGTCGGAGCCAGACTGATGGAGGAGCTGGGTACAGTCTCCCTGAGAGACCTGAGCTGCAGTGAGACACACACACACACACACACACACACACTGATGAAGTTCCTGTTCCAGTTGAGGAACAAAACGTCATTCAAGCTCCAAGAAGAACTCTTTTGATAACATCTTCACACACACACACACACACACTTTGACCCCCCCCCCGTGCCCCCCCTCTCTCGTCCTCAGTCGTGGAGTTGCTGATCGTAGCCCATGACTGTTTCAGTCTGACCTGTAACATGGAGGGCATCGTCAGGGTCCTCCAAGCCGCCCGTCACCTCAGCCACGCCCACCTCGCCCCAGGAGAGCACTACAGCCTATTGGTTAGCCCCGCCCACTGACCTACAGACCAGGAGAGGTCGCTGTTGTATGTCTGGGACGATAAGTGTGTGTGTGTGTGTCCAGGTGCGTCTGCTGACCGGTGTGGGCAGGTACACTGAGATGACCTACGTCTTCGACCTGCTCCATCAGAACCATCGGTTCGAGATGCTGCTGAGGAAGAAGGTGGACATGGACCGAGGACAGGTTCTGGTTCCAGCCTTGACTCATGTCCAGCCGTGGGTCTGGGGGACGTCCTAACTGTGTGGTGTTTGTCGTCCTGGTCAGAGCTCCAGTCTGAAGACGGCCCTGCTGGACTACATCAAACGCTGCCTGCCTGCAGACAGCGAGAAGTACAACATGGTGGCGCTGTGCTTCAGCATGAGGAGGGAGATCGGTGAAAACCACGAGATGGCGGCGAGGACGCAGCTGAAGATGATCGAGTCCCAGCCCTGGGGTGAGGGTTCCAATCCACGTCCTCGTAATCTGTTATTCCGACGTCAGAGATGTGTGAAATGTAACGTAGATGTGTCTCCCCCTAGTGGTGACTGCTGACCTGATCAGTTCACTGGTCAAAGTGTTGGCTCTGCTGAAGGACGCCGCAGAGAGTTTCTCCAAGGTGATGATGTCATCACCACCACACACACACACACACACACACACACACAAACAAACAAACACACACACCTGAGGGAGATTAACTGTGTGTGTGTGTGTGTGTGTGTTTCTCTCCAGGACTGGTGTGTGCGTCAGGCGACTCGGTGTGTGCGTACGGCGAAGCTGGTGTCTCTGCAGCTTCACTTCCTGAACCAGGGCTCAGACGTACGTGTCATCAACCTGCGACCAGCCGAGCTGCTGAACGCTGTGGTGCTGACTGTGTGTTGTTACCAGGTCTGACCCCCCCCCTCCCCCCACACACACACACACACACATAAGTCTTAATTTGTCTGTGTTAAACAGAACTACTAAGATTTTCAAAATAAAAGTCTCATCACTGAGACTGTTGATAAAACTGAGTTTTTTTTTTAGTTTGATGACTTTTCAAAGTAAAACAGAGAATTTTGTTTTACCACACAGACTAATTCAGTCAGACCAATGTCAAAATAAAGGCTGACCACTGCTGCGGTCATTATCCTGGCCCTGGCTGACCACTGCTGCGGTCATTATCCTCGGGGAGGTCAGGTTAAAGGGACAGTCTGTTCTTCTCCACTCAGGTCTTTGTGGTGTCGGAGGCGTACAGCTACAGTCCAGACTGGGCGGAGATCCTCCACCAGAAGGTGGTCCTGAAGGGAGACTTTGTTTTTCTGGAGGAGCTGAGACGCCATCGCCCGCTGACGTCCAGTCTGTTTGAAGACGTTTTTAAAAAGTAGGTGAAGGTTCGCCGCGGTCGTCGGGTCTTTGTGTCGTTGTCTGAAGTCCACTTCTCCACGTTTGTCTTTGTCATCTTCAGGTTAGACTCCGCCCCGAGCAGCGTGACACCCAACGTGAAGCGTCTGCTGTCGTACTGCGATGACGTGTACACTCGCTACAGACTGGCCTATCAGAGGAGTCTGAACGACGTGGCCGAGAACCTGCTGCAGGACGTCAAGACGTCCAACTACCTGAACGACAGACTGAGCAGCTGACCAGGATTGACAGAGGCAGATTTACACTGTACAGTCCTCAGGCCTTACAGTAAGAAAGTCACAGGTTCAATCTGTTTCACCACCCTGAAACTTTAGAAAACCTTTTTTTTTTACTTTTTTTTCGTGTTCAGTTTCAACTTACAGATTTTTTAATTTTTTTTTTACTTTGATCCAAACGTGTAAAAATGTACAAACTGACATTAAAGACAAGTTCTCACAGTTTTAGTGTCGGCAGAGATTCATGTCTCATCTCTGAACAGCCCCCAAACCCTCCAGCTAAGATTGTTCATTTTCATACTAATATAATATTAATAGAAAGTTCTGTAATCGGTTCTAATCGGTAACTTTGTTCATGTCCATCTATTCTGCTTTATGGTTTAAAAGTCGCAGTGTGAAAAAGAAAATCATCTGGAAAAAAGACAGTCTGCTAACCATCTCCTCCTCATCTCCTCTGTCGTCTGTCACTCCGTGGCTCATCAACCACGGAAAGGAAGAGACTGTTTGGATCAAAGGGGAAAAGGAGGACCAAAGGATGAAACATTAAAGGACGTTGCTTCTCATTGGTTCTGTTTATGGATAGAACATTAAGAATTCAGCAGAGACAAAGATCATCCAGCAGGGGGCAGTAACATTCTGAATGTTCACTGCCTTTGAATACCACCTCCAACTGAGAGACAAGGGGCAAAAACTGACACCAGCTGTTGGAGCAATGTGGGAGGGGTAACAGAGGAGTGAGGGCAGGAACCACAAGAACACCACCCTGAGGAGGGCAGGGAGGGGCAGAAGGAGCGGGAGGCGAAACTAGTCCTGAAACAAGGTGACAAGGATGAAAGAGCAGGAAGAGTACTACGTTCTCTGAAGTACTCACCTGAAGACACGTATATAAATATATATATAATAATCTAAATACTACAAGATCATCGACCACAAAACACAGAACCAAAGAAAGAGTGAAGGAAGGAGGAGTGATCGAGAGAAGGAGGCAAGGGAGCAGACATTCACTCCACGTAGGGTTTGAAGTTGATGGTTGCAGGAGGGAACGATCCAACGTCAACTATGCCTCCAACCGTTGAAGACCAGAGGCGGAAAATTCCGTCGGTCCGTCTTCCTAAGCAGAACCTTTCTGGACCGAACCAACACGGACGGCAACGTTGTGTGATGCAGGAAAACGGCCAGGAGGAGAACTCCCTGCCCTACCTGAAGTGGCAGTTGGACCAGGTGACGTACCAGTATGAGTACAGTACCGAGCTGTGGGGAGACCGGGTCTCCACCATCCTCCAGAAGCTGCAGTGTAAGGAGGAAAAGATCAAGGCTCTGCAGAAGGAGGTCACCGAGGCAAAGTCAGAGCAGGAGTTGCTGAGTGAGGAGTTGGCGGGGAGCAAACGGGATTACCAGAGGCTCACCTGGAAACTGGACGCCTGGGAGAAACATGTCCTCCGACAAATGGAAGAGCACAACGCCACCAAACGGGAGCTGGCTGAGTCTTGTGACCAGCACAAGGAGGCGCTGTTGAAAATCGAGACGCTGAACATCCAGGTGGAAAACCTCAAAGAAGATGTGGAGAAATGGAACCAGGAGGCCTCCAAAAACCACAACGCCTACGAGGAGTTGAAGGAGGAGAAAGCAGACGAGATATGCGTCCTCAATGAGGAGAACAACCGTCTGAAGGAGACCGTAGTCAAGACGGAACTTTTAATCAACAGCCTTAAGCAAGATATGGTCAAAACAGAGAAGCTCCTCCACAAGGAGCGGGCGGTCGGTGCTACGTTTGTGGACAAAACCATTGCTCAGCAGACGATTGTCGACGAGCACACTAAGACCATCCTAGCTCTGCAGAAGGACAACAGCAAACTGGCCAAGCTCCACCACAGCCTGGCCGAGAAGAACTTTGTTCTCCTGAACAGCAGCAAGGAGGCCACGCATTTGAAACAAGCCACCAGAGACCTGCAGGATCAGGTGAGGCGCAAGACGGACCTGAACGTTACCCTGCGCTCCAACGTTAAGGAGCTGCAGAGGAAGAACGCACGCTTGGAGAACGAGAAGCAAGCGTACGAGTGCAAAATGGAAAAGGCTAACCGGGAGCTAAAAAGCAAGAACCTCAAACTGATGCGGGACGTGGACTATCTCACCCAGAGAGTGAGGGTCTGTGAGCAACAACGAGCCAAACAGAAGGAGGACGTGAAGAAGCTGGAGGCACAACAGCACCGCATTCTGGGCGACATAGAGACCTGCATGTATGTGATTGAAGATCCCAGGTTGTTGAGACGATCGGTCATGAAGCTCAAGTCCAACTGTGGCGACCATCTGAAGAAAGGTCAGGTCAACGACAACGACGGCTCCTCCGCCAAGAAGGTCCACAACGTCAACAGAGCTCTTCACACCACCAGGAGAGCCAAGGAACGAACGGAGCAGAGGATGGAGAGTCTGGCCACCCAGTTCAACCGGGAGAGGACCAACCTGATCACCGTGGTCAACAAGCAGAAGGAGGAGATCGCCGAGCTGAAGATCAAACTCCACAACGCAACCAAGCCCAAGCACATCAGTTCCTGGGTGAGGAAGAAGGTTCTTCAGCGACAACAGGTCAGGAACCGATGATCATCCACGACCTTCTGGACTCACTGACCAACTGAAGCCAACAGTTGAGCAGCGCAACGAGGCAAAGACAGAAGCTGATGAGTTCATGAACTGTTCTTATCTTCAAGGAACGTTGAGCGACCAGGTCTTCAGATGAACTCATTTAGATTTTTAAACCACTCCCTTTGGCCTCTGATTATACGTGGCCTGTTGGCTCTCTGCTGCCACGTGTGGTCAGTGTGAGTGACATCACCATCACACACTAAAAACAGTGTTGATTTGACCATAGTCATCATGAAGGATGAGCCAAAACGCTGCCCTCTGCTGAGCAGCTTTGGTAGTGTGGACAGAACAGCAGTGGTACTTTAGTGTGTTTCTATGTTTTTTTTTTACAGTGAAGATATTCTGTGGAAAATAAAAAATAAAAATCTCTGAAACTGTTGTCTCATTGAAGACGAGAGTCATTTGCCTGTGGGCGGAGCTTTAATCCAATGAAAGGAGAAAAGCTCCACCCACATGTGTGTGACTGGACTGACTAACGTGTGTGTGTGTGTGTGAGACCGTGGTGTCGAGTGACGCCTGCCCTCAGCGGTCGGTGACATCACTGCTCCGTCTCTGTCTGGACGTCAACATGGGCAGCGGAGTATCCAGGTCTGAGCGACCGGACGGAGGAGAGGCCGAGGTGACGCCTGTCTGTGTGCCTCCACCTGCAGCTACAGCGCCACCTGCAGCTCCATCTTCTGCTGCACGTGGAGCTCTGCAGGTAAATATTATAATATAAATATTTTCTCCTTCCTTTTTAATTCCCTCCTCTCTCTCTTTGTTTTATTCCTTTCTTCCACTGTCGTTTGCTTTTTCCTCTAACTCCTTCCCATTTCATCTCTTCTTCTTCTCCATTTTTTCTCCTTTTTCACCTCCCCCTACTTTTTTATTCTTCTTTAACAGAACTGTTGCTCTGGTCCCTTTCAGACAAATACGGAGGAAACAGCGCCATCTTCCTCCCACATTATTGATGTTCAGTCTGTGAAGGATGAAGAGGTGAACTCAGCAGAGAAGGATGAGGAGGAGGAAGAGGAAAATGAACCTGAGGAGAAAGAAGAAAAGGAGAAGACGGGAACCCAGGACGGAGCGGCAGAAAGTTCTCCAGCGTCTGTGAGAACGTCAACTTTGTATTTGTTTATTTATTTATTATATATATATAAATATTATTATTTATTAAGTTTATAATTCTATAATATAGAAGGTCAATGTTGGGGTGTGTGAACCTCACTGGTGCAGTGGCTGGGGGTCAGAGGTCAACCTTTCTGTTGTAGGACGAAGGTGAAGAAGTGTCTCTGGATTTTGAGACTTTTCTCCATAACGACGGGACGCTGTACAGCTGCTTCAACCAGCAGGGGGCCAGAGTCTACGTCGACATGTCGCAGGTGAGGAAGTGGAAAAAACGGAACTTTATCAACATTTTTTACTCTTTCAAAACAAGTCATCCTCTGCTGCCTCTGGTGGTCAGTTTGTGTCACTGTGAAAATACAAACCAGTCCCATAATTGATTTAGCTCAGTGACCTACAGCTGTACTCTGTAGGTACTACAGTCTTTGACAGTTTGTTGACGTCACGTGTCTTTTCTAGAACCTTCAGCCTTTCCCAAAGGAGTGGTACGACCAGGGGCGCTTCATCACCTCCAGCAGTGAAGTTCCTGGTCACCTTCAGACTCTGTCCAGCGTTGAGCCCACGGTCAGGGAGGACGACCGCACGGGCAGCGTCTACATCCAGGGCAAAGGAACCGTCATAACCTACATGTTTGAGGTGAGTTGGAGAAGAACAACTATGGTCCAGAAGGTTTTCTGACCTTTCACCTCTGACCTCTTCATCATGGATGGTTGTTGTTCCAGGAAAGGCAGAACGTCTGCAGGTTCTGGGACCCTCAGTCTGGGGTCTGGCTGCTGTTGCCGCTGCAGTGGGAGATGAATATGGACTTTGTGGACGCTCGAGTTCGGAGGGTGATGGTGAGGAGGACAGTGAAGCTGCTCCTCAAACTGTCAGAGATCGGTGAGAACATCTGTTTCATCTGAGGATGGTTTGTGTTTCAGTCGACCCTTCCAGGTCTGGTGGACCAGAAGGAGATCACCGCAGCTCTCCGACAGTGCAACTACGACCACGAGGAGGTCATCTCCGTCTACCTCGCCATGTTTGGAGACATCCTCCTGCAGGCTCCACCCAGTGGAGACCGCAACTATGCTGACCTCAACTCCTTCAGGTCCACAAAAAATGTTTAAAAGTCAGAAGTCGTCCGTTTAGAGCAGGGTTCCACTCATTTACTTTAACGTACCTTATATGCTGGGGTACTTTGATGAAAAGCCTCAGTGACTCTTACAGTACTATTACATGGTTCTTATGTTAGCCCCAGTGGTTAGCATCTAGTCCAGGGGAACCTATGGCTCGCGGGCCAGATGTGGCTCTTTTGCTTTTACTTCTTACCACAGTAAGTAATAAATAATTTCGCTGAAATTCAAGTAAAACATTACAGAATTCATAGTGTCAATCTTTTTGCGTTATGTTAAATACCTGCGGTAAAAGAGGTTTGAGACAGAGGATGATGTCGACAGGAAGGTCAAGGGTTAAGGGTTTAGTTGGAATTCACAGGTTTGAAGGTGAAGAGGAGTTTACTAGATGTTGTTAGAGGTTGAAGGTTTGAACTCGTCTGTATCCCAGCAGAGCTCTACTGGAGAGAGACCGCGTCATCGAGGATCTGAGGCAGAAGCTCCAGACCAAAGAGAAGGATGTGGACAACCTGTTCCAGAGGAACAGCTACCTGTCCAGGGAAGTCCACTACCTCAGCGACGTGGTCCAGCACCTCAACCAGAAGATGGCTGAGCTGGAGACTGACAAGCAGGAGGCCCGTGAGAAGATCAAATCTCTCCTGAACCGCCCAGCTCCTGCTGTCCCACCTGCCCGAGCCATCACCAAACCCACGTTGGACGCCGACCACCTCCGCCACGTGAGGCACCGGACGCGGGACCTTAATGTCTCCAACAAAAAGCTGCGATCTACAGTTCAGCAAGCGATGGGTGACATGAGGAACCAGCTGGAGCAAATACAGGGGGTTCTGGGTAATTTGGCCCAGGTGGAGAAGGAAAGGGCCGGGGGGGTGGAGGAGCTGCGCTCCCTGTACAGACGGGAGGCGGTGGAGAGGAAACGTCTTTACAACAAGCTGTTGGAACTCCAGGGGAACATCAGGGTGTTCTGTAGATGCAGGAAGAGCTCAGCTGTCAGCTCCTCTTTAGAGAAGACTGACGACCAGGAGGTGGCGATGGTCTTGAAGGGCAGCAGGAAGAAGTTCCAGTTTGATAAGGTGTTCCCTCAGAGCAGCACACAGGTACAAACATCAAAGTCTGGAGAACATGTTGTTTCTGATCTGTGACATCAGTAATGGAGATGTGGTCCTACAGGAGGAGGTCTTTGAAGGAACGCTGCCACTCATACTGTCCTGTGTGGACGGATATAACGTCTGCATCCTGGCCTACGGACAGACTGGCTCAGGGAAGACCTACACCATGATGGGCAACAAGGAGAACCCTGGAGTCAACATCCGGTAAGACACCAGGAACTGGTGGAGGTCTTTGAAGTCTGGTTGCTGGTGGAGTTTAGATCCAGATAGATCCAGGAACTCTTGGTTTTTGGAACCAGACCAAAAAAGGGAGTTTGTTGAATGATCTGGACCATGTTGATAAAGTGGTTGTGGTTCTGTGGTCTGGTCCGGTCCAGGTACAGCAGGTTCTGGTGTCTGACAGATCACAGGTTTAAGTTTCAGTGGTTTAAGGTTTTCCGGCTCCTGTAACTTGAACTGTTGTCAAACCAATTAGTCTTCACGGTGGGACTGGACTGGACGGGTCGGGTCACATGACAGCTGATCATAAATATGTGATGAGGTGGCGCTGCAGAGGCTCAGACCAGATCTGTTACAGCAGCAGGTTCTGGTTTCACTGCAACTGTGTTTGTCAGGTCCATACGAGAACTGCTGCGGATCTGTGACGGGAACCAGAAGATCTCCTACACCCTGAAGGTGAGAACTTCCTGTCTGGTCTAGACCGTGAAGGTGAGAACTTCCTGTCTGGTCTTCACTAACACTCTGAGGTTTGAGGAACTGTACGACCTTGTCTCTGCTGGTCTACTAATATCCACCCTGAACCTTCTAATCTGGACCTTCTGATCCTCTCAGTTGTCTTGGTCAGAACTCTTGTTTTTCCGACTT